TATTGTTGCACCTGTATTTGTAGTCGACTACTCTAAGACGGAAATATCCAACTGTTTTCATTGCCTTTATCAACTAAAATGATGTAGTTATTATTATTATTATTATTATTATAATTTCTGTAGTTACTTCATCTTCATTCACTATTCGTCTGTGCTTGGTTGTTCTTGATAAAAGAGTCACTCTAACTATTGACTCCTAATTATTAAATATAAATAAATAAGTTTATATTTACTTATTTTTATTGTTTATTTTTGTTTACTTTTACCTCTGGTATTTCTTGTGTTATGTTTAGTCTCTTAATTAAATGTTTTGAGAAAGCTTGCATGAGACCTGACCTGTAGCATCCAGGAACCTACAGTAATACCATAATACATGACAATACATTTTGGCATTTTCTTAAAATGGCCGTAACTTAAAAATTGAAGTCGGAATCAGCTCAAACTTTCTACGTAGCATAAGTAGGTCAATATGTATCAGAAAATGTAATAAAAATTGGGGGTGATTTCAGAGCCATTTTTTGGAAAAAACCACGGGCTATAGCCTTGGGTATTTTTCAGATTTTTGGCATTTTCTTAAAATGGCCATAACTTGAAAAATTGAAGTCAGAATCAGTTCAAACTTTCTACATAGCATAAGTACATCAATATGTATCAGAAAATGTAATAAAAATCGGGGTGATTTTGGAGCCATTTTTTGGAAAAAACCATGGGCTATAGCCTTGGGTATTTTTCAGATTTTGGCTCATTTTAAAAAATGGCCGTAACTTGAAAAGTTGAAGTCAGAATCAGCTCAAACTTTCTACACAGCACAAGTACATCTATATGTATCAGAAAATGTAATAAAAATTAGGGGTGATTTTGGAGCAATTTTTTGGAAAAAACCATGGGCTATAGCCTTGGGTATTTTTCAGATTTTGGCTCATTTTAAAAAATGGCCGTAACTTGAAAAGTTGAAGTCAGAATCAGCTCAAACTTTCTACACAGCACAAGTACATCTATATGTATCAGAAAATGTAATAAAAATTAGGGGTGATTTTGGAGCAATTTTTTGGAAAAAACCATGGGCTATAGCCTTGGGTATTTTTCAGATTTTGGCTTATTTTTTTTAAATGGCCGTAACTTAAAAAATTGAAGTCAGAATCAGCTCAAACTTTCTACGTAGCATAAGTAGGTCAATATGTATCAGAAAATGTAATAAAAATTGGGTGTGATTTCGGAGCCATTTTTTGGAAAAAAGCATGGGCTATAGCACAGGGATTTTGGCCAAATTTCGTCAAAAATAAAAAGCACAGAATTCTTTACTTTTATGATGTTTTCTGATACATATACATGTTCTTATGTTGTGTAGAAAGATTGAACTGATTCCAATCAAATTTGGATT